ACTCTCGTTTAGCAGTGTAGTGGTCGAACTTGACGTAGGTTAAAACGGATTCGTTTTGCCGGCATCTTCCCGTTAAATTAAAGTAGATTTAACACTTGCCAGGAGTAATTAGAAATCTAGCCATTTTGCTCATAGCTTCGCAAATGCAACCAGCGTTATACAGTAAAGTGACAGAGAAACTTTAGCGAAATGTTCACACGCAACAGTCGCGACAACCTCAGTAAATCTAACAAATGAAACAAGATACTAAGAGAAAAAAGAGGCTTCATTGATTGTTTCCGGCAGGCGGTGACAAGTAATGTACGAGATTAGAAGACCTCCTGGTCAGAATTTTTATTGTAGCCTAAGCCCGTCATGAACACAGGCAAATTAATGCCCCAGTGTATTTTGTGAAACACAGGCAAATTAATGCCAAAGTGTATTGTGTTAAACACAGGCAAATTAATACCCCAGTGTTGTTGTTAGACACAGGCAAATCAGTGCCCCGGTATATTTTGTTAGACACAGGCAAATTAATGCCCCAATGTATTTTTTTAAAGACAGGCAAATTAATGCTCCAGTGTATTTTCTTAGACATAGGCAAATTAATGCCCCAGTGTATTTATTAGACATGGGCAAATTAATGCCCCAGTGTATTTGTTAAACACAGGCAAATCAATGCCCCAGTGTATTTCGTTAGACACAGGCAAATTGATGCCCCAGTGTTGTTGTTAGACACAGGCAAATTAATGCCCCAGTGTATTTTGTTAAACACAGGCAAATCAATACTCTAGTGTATTTTGTTAGACACAGGCAAATCAATGTTCCAGTATATTTTGTTAGACACAGGCAAATTAATGCCCCAGTGTATTTGTTAAAGACAGGCAAATTAATGTCCCAGTGTATTTTGTTAAACGCAGGCAAATTAATGCCCCAGTGTATTTTGTTAGACATAGGCAAATTAATGCCCCTGTGTATTTATTAGACATGGGCAAATTAATGCCCCAGTGTATTTGTTAAACACAGGCAAATCAATGCCCCAGTGTATTTCGTTAGACACAGGCAAATTGATGCCCCAGTGTTGTTGTTAGACACAGGCAAATTAATGCCCCAGTGTATTTTGTTAAACACAGGCAAATCAATACTCTAGTGTATTTTGTTAGACACAGGCAAATCAATGTTCCGGTATATTTTGTTAGACACAGGCAAATTAATGCCCCAGTGTATTTGTTAAAGACAGGCAAATTAATGTCCCAGTGTATTTTGTTAAACGCAGGCAAATTAATGCCCCAGTGTATTTTGTTAGACATAGGCAAATTAATGCCCCAGTGTATTTATTAGACACAGGCAAATTGATGCCCCAGTGTATTTGTTAAACACAGGCAAATCAATGCCCCAGTGTACATTTTGTTAGACACAGGCAAATTAATGCCCAAGTGTATGTGTTAAACACAGGCAAATTAATGCCCCAGTGTATTTTGTTAAACACAGGCAAATTAATGCCCCAGTGTATTTTGTTAGACACAGGCAAATTAATGCCCCAGTGTATTTTGTTAGACACGGGCAAATTAATGCCCCAGTGTATTTGTTAAACACAGGCAAATCAGTGCCCCGGTATATTTTGTTAGACACAGGCAAATTAATGCCCAAGTGTATTTGTTGAACACAGGCAAATTAATGCCCCAGTGTATTTTGTTAGACACAGGCAAATTAATGCCCCAGTGTTGTTGTTAGACACCGGTAAATTAATGCCCCAGTGTATTTGTTAAACACAGGCAAATTAATGGCCCAGTGTATTTTGTGAGACACAGGCAAATTAATGCCAAAGTGTATTGTGTTAAACACAGACAAATTAATGCCCTAGTGTATTTTGTTAAACACAGGCAAATTAATGCCCCAGTGTATTTTGTTTAAAGACACAGGCAAATTAATGCCCCAGTGTATTTATTAGACACAGGCAAATTTATGCCCCAGTGTATTTGGAAGACACAGACAAATTAATGCCCCAGTGTATTTGTTAAACATAGGCAAATTACGGTATTTGTTAGACACAGGCAAATTAATACCCCAGCGTATTTGCTGTATTTGTTAAACACAGCTAAATTAATGCCCCAGTGTATTTGGTAGACCCAGGCAAATAAGGATCAATTCTTCGCTTGAAATATCACTCAGCATGCCTATATATTTAATGCTCAAGTTTACAGATATTTCCTGAGGAAAGATCCAGATTTTTTGTAGGTTGGCTTTTATTTACATGTATCGGGTTTATAACACACAAAACTTAACATCTCTACGAGTACAATGATTGTCCTTTTCAAAGCCCCTCGGCTTTATTGATAGTAACGCCATAATGTTTAACAGTTTCATTAGTGACTGGGCTGGTCCTCATAACCACTTCTGAGCTTTAGCATCTTTATATCGCCACGTCTTCAACATAACAGTTCGCTCGCATTTATAGCTAAAACGTTTTCTTTATGTAAAGATTTGCAATATTACTACTCACCTTGCGGCCGTGATAGTAATTATTTACCTGTTTCGTTGCAGATGACAAGATAGCCAGCACGTGCACAAGCGAAAATTAAACGAGAAAAAATTCGTCTTGCATTTGAGCGCGCAGTAGAGCAAGATTACTTCATTTTTCCCGCTAATATTTCCGAATGTATGGTATTGCCGTAATAAATTAACCCCAATAAGTAACACAGCATCTTGTTTGTGTTCTTTGTTCTGTTGCTTTTCATAAAGTCACTGTCAACAGATCCAAAAGTTCTCTGATTCTGTTTTTAACTGTTCCAAACGGAGAAATATTTTTAAAGAGAATTTTTTTAAAATTGGAAATAGCAGACGCAACATCAAATTGCTTGTGACCGGATATGCAATCAACTATCTTACCGCAGATTTCCATATGCCTAACCGCAAGGAAGGCAAATAGCCACGGGATTTTAACTCCTTGGGCAAATGCCTGCTGTGAATTCCTGAACCGGCCTAAGACTCTCATGTATGGAATTAAGGTTCCCTACAAATATCAGTAGATTCAAATTAGGGTAAAACAAAAAGGTCTGCCAATTTTTTTTGTATTTTTTTTTAGCCTTGTGGTCCAGCAATTTTTGCCATGCAATTAAACCCTATGTTAATTGCGTTCGACGTTAGGAGAACGCTTCGTAATCTTTGGGGATCCTGTGGTCGATGGGATACCTGTGCATGCCAGGCGTGAAGATTCGAGATTTTTGGTTACTTGGACGGGCGATGTTCAAAATCTGCGCCATTTTTAATAATTATTAAGCGCGCGCACGAATTTTAAGCCCAATAGCCGGCCAAAGAAATTGCGGGCTCACCTGGTGGACATGCGCACACAACTATTTTTTACGTCATAAGCAATTGTCATATGGCAATCACGTGCATCACTGGTTCCATCAAGGTCAACTAGATGATTACACGGGAATATTTGAGTTCGGCAAAAGAATGAACTTTGGGTTGTTTTTTCTAAGCGGGTTTTATCACTGAGCTGATGATTCTGCTAAACTTTTCGGTCAATGCCGTTCAAATCGAGCTGGAACTTCGTAGAAACACACAAATAAAGACCAGGTAACATTTGTGCCGTGAGAAGTTTACCCGTGCGTTTGAGTCTATTTACATATTTGTAGTTTAACCTCTTTCATGCACGAAAAAGTAAGCTTGAGCGTATCAGTGCAGTTTGTTACAACTGTAATGCTTTATTCACGTCTGATATCTCTACGCGGGTAATTTTGCATGATAAATATCTCGCTCGCTGAAGCAAGCTAAGTTTAAAACATGTTGAACTGACCTACATGAACGTAAAATAATCATGAGATGAAAAGTTTGCACAATGGCAAAAGATTCTGTCCGGTTCTCTGACATCAGTAATCTAGCAGAAACCTAATATGTTTCCGTCGCTCCTATGATCATTGATTTCACTTCAAGTTGTGTCACGCAAGAAGCCAAGACTTTTAACCTTCAAGGCTACCATTTTTTCGAAGTTTGTAGTGACATGTTTATCTTTTTAACAACAAAGAACTTTTTACGATCTACTTTACATTTTTATCGACCATGCTTGAGGGAGAGCAAGACATTTTAAGAGTAGAGAGTTAATGAGTGAGATATTTTGAAGCCGTATACGCGAAGAACATTTTTTACGAAAAGAATGTTTACCTTTTAATTCATGATCTCTTCCATGATTTTGAAATCAAGCTTGACGACACAAAAGCTAATCTGGAGCTAAGAAAACTCGAACGCACTTATTGATCTATGATTACTACTAGTTATGATTTTGATACTACCAATTAAACCCATAAAATGTTTGCCGGCATTGTCTGCAATCACTCAAAATTTTCATCTTTTTCATCAAGTTGCATCCCATGATTTGTGCATAATCAGGTCAGGTGACTGCAAGTATCATATAGGGCCTATCAACTTGGTTGGCAAAGATGTGGTGTCACTGTTGAATGAAAAACCTCTATGTAATAATTATAAAGTCTTTCTGAAAGTCATGCGGTCGCCGAAACGTCGGAGCATAAGTGAGTTTACCCAACAGGGGGGCAGGAGGAAGAGGACTGCATTTAAAGCCTCAGTGCATCAACAAAATGGAGAACCAACACCAAACCTGTGTGAAGCGCAGAGCACTTGACTGCCACTTGAATGAAATAGGTTATTCTTTTTCAACAATATTAATTAGGACAGAAAATTTTCAATTCCTGAAAAGTTCTGAAACATAAATTATTTTTTATTAGCAGCGAATTAAGGATTTTTTTTTTTCAACCTGTGCTTTACACTTTTCAGTGCTTGGAGTTTTCAATACAATGAACATGTCATCTCCCACAGTGTGAGCATATTTGTCGTGAAATCAACTAGTGGTCAAAATAAATTATTTCTAATTTCACTCTTCTCCTCATGATGGTCTCGGATCATTGAAAATAGTCAAGAGACTGAAGGATCGATTCAGCAAACAGCCATAGTTAATGTATGTAACCTGTCAGATGGTGTATACATGAACTAATAAATTTGACTTTCCAGTTCTGTCAGCAGTCTATCAAAATGGTGACCTCCGCCTTGTGGGATCAGACTTCAAAGCTGAAGGTCGTGTTGAAATTTACCATCAGAACAAATGGGGAACAATTTGCGATGATCGTTGGGGCATGGAAGAGGCTAACGTAACTTGCAAGCAGTATGGGTATCCATTAGGAGCTCAATATTGGTACTCAAATGCTTATTTTGGACAAGGCAATGGTACTATTTGGTTGGATGATGTTACTTGTTTTGGAAATGAAACTAAATTAATGAACTGCAGGCATAATGGATGGGAAGGCCATAACTGTCGACACTATGAAGATGTTGCAGTTGTTTGCAGAATGGAAGGTACATCAAAGCTTAAAAATTTCTGACTAAATAAATTACAAAATTGTATGTCACTGACTCTCACTCTGCATGTATTTCAATCTATAAAGCTCCAACATGATTGTCTTTTCAGTATGCCAATCACATCAAGGGTTAGAACATTTTGAGCGGCCACTCAATCATAACTGGAGTGGTAACTCTTAAAAATTCATTTCATGTCATAAAATGTGATTACTGAAAAACCCCTTGTAGGACGTGTAGGTACTATTTAAAAAAAATTTTGCTCCCAATATCACTGAGCCTGTGAGTTAATTTCTAAATCTGCTGAAATTCATTAAAAAAGGATGTTCTCTAATCTCATTACAAACAACATTTGGTACAGTTTAATAGTGACTATTTAGTGTGGCAAATAAAATCATCATGGCAATTGGTTAGAGGGCTAATATACCAGAGAAGGTGGATATATTAGTAATGAATTTTGTCTGTTCAAAAGGAAAGGTTTACAGTCAAACCAGGAAAACCATGAACACCAGAAATTTTTTCTGAAATATTATTGTTTTGTAAGAAAAAAGCCAACAATTGGGCCGTGGTGAGAAATTAAACTGCAAGCAAGAAAGTTAATAATATTAGTTTCTGGTTTTGTGGCTACATAATGTAGTTCGTGTGTCCCATTATCTTTGCCATATGATAGGTTGTAACACGTTAAACATACCTGATTATTTCATATGTTCACAGTTTTCCCAGATGAACACCTTGTTTTGAATAAAAATGAGTGGTAAAAACAAAATGTTTTGATAAAGCTTGTCACTATTTTATCAATTGTATATTGTAAATAACAAGATCATAAGAGAAGTAACTTAAGTGCTTCTCTAAATCAAAATATTTTTTTATGAGATATACATGTAAGATTAAATGCAGGTGCATGTGCATGATATAGTATGTGGGCACAGTCAACAATCAATTGTCATGGCAGCCCTGAAGAGTAACAAGGGTTGGCTGGTTACCTCAACAGGCAAGGAATTAATAAACAGCCAAATGTACCACCTCATAAGTCCAGCACATTTTTTCTTTATGAGCAAGAGGTTTGCATCAGCTATTGAAGCTGCTTAAGTAACAGCTAACACTTCAAAGTCGGAGATTTTTTTCCTTTTTATTTTCAAAGGAAACAAAAATTATTATAATAATTACAGTAACATTTTTCCCATACACATTGTTTGTACAAGTTGAGCTGTAGACACTAGTATACTAAACCTGCCATCCTTCTTGTTCATATAGAGAATGATACAACAGGAGCATGTGACTTTGAGAAAGGCCATGGAATGTGTGGATATCGAAATATTATTGCAAAAAATTTTTTTAACTGGACATTTGGAGGCAGGAATGTAAATGGCTATCGCTGGCCAAAAACTGATCACACAACTGAATTTTCAACTGGAAAAGGTATGATGTGGGATACAGTAGCATATGAAGTACATGTATTTATTTACAGTGCTCTCTCTTCTGTTTCTTTCTCTATGTCTTTTTGGTTTTTTTGGTTTTTTTTTGTTCTCATCTGAGTGACTTACTACTTCATATACCACTTCAAACCACAAATATTCATCTTTTTATTACGATTCAATACAACCTCAGTTTGTGGAAAGAAGCTTAATTATAAAAGGAAATAATTTTAGACATTGAATGCGAGTTTATAACCTTTAAGAACAAGGAAACTGCTTTTTTTTAAACACGAACCATTACCCTGTGGTAAGGGCTTATGGTCATATGTGACATCCTAATTTTAGTCATTCACGGGAAATCAATCAAGCCAAGCAATCAAAAACCTCAATCAATCCCTTAATATTTATCGTTTACTTTAATAAAGGTTTCTATGCTACCACATTCTTGAAGATTTGGAAGGATATCATTCAGGGTAAACCAGCACGCTTGCAAAGTCCCGCCATTGCATCTGCCAAGTGTGTTGAATTCTACTATTTTATGGCTGGCACTACTGTTGGGGAGCTGTTGGTTTACTTGAAGTCAGACACTCAGGGAGAGAAAGTAGTCTGGCAGTTAATTGGTGATCAAGGATATCAGTGGAAAAAAGGAGCCTTTCCTGTGAACAGCACCTATAAAAACTTCAACGTTTGTATCTGATTAATAATATGTAGATTTAGCCGAAGCTTCCGTTTATGCATTTTAAATTTACTTCAGACAATGGACTTTTAAACCATTGCAAAGAATCCACAAATCTATACTTAACTTTAGGAGAGAACCATATGACTGAAAAAAAAAACATAAACTTGAACCTGCGATTAATTAAAAGCTAACAACTAGTCAGCGGAAAACTTCAAAAAGCACGTGCCCTCCGTGAGTTGGCAGCTGAGCCCGCGATACGGTCATGTGACACTGGTCAGCGCATACGGAAAGTTTGACATTTTACATTGGTTTCCGTGCAATGCGGACGGACGGACGCACGGACACGTGATTACCAAAATGTCTCGGCTGGATAGATTACCAAATTTTCTTGGGTGTCCAGCTCCGCGCGTTGTGCTCCGCTTTTATATAACAATTACAATTATAAAAACTGAATCACTGGATAATGCAATTCTAGCATTTTGATTGGCTTAGCCGTTATGGTATATGAGCTATTATACCGTGCTCTCCATATATGGTCGGTGTACGCGTCAGTTTAAAATTGGAAGCTAGCTGAGATTTTTTTTCGCGAAGGATAGAACGGCGCCCGAAGCAAATTGTTTTAATTCATTTCTTAGAATACTAGAAATGCAATTTCATCGAAAGAAAAAAGACAAAGACAAACAAAAAAGCCACAAGAGCTTGTTTGAAAGTTTGTCGAAAAACACATGAAAACACATGGAACTAAAGTACCTTGACCAGCTACGAAAGAAGACAAGTGTTGTTTCTTCATGATCCATTAATGTAGCCATTCACTAGAGCTAGTGAAGTCTGGGCTAGTAAATGCTAGCTTCAGCTTGCCCGAATGGCAAGATGTAAAAATGAGTTTCTTTGCACCCTGAATTAGCAATGATATTATAGCGGAACTTCCGCATGCGCGCGTTGCGGAGCCTCCATTGCTGTGGAAAATGGAAACCTATCGATGCGAGAAAATTTGGTTATGACGTCAACGTACGCCCACCCGTACATACGGACCGGCAGTGGGGTACTAAGTAGACTCTGCAGGGGTTGGGGGCGGGGAATCCAAGACAGTTCACCTAGAGGCAGCCAATGGAGTGTTTCAAGTAAAGATCATAGTTTTGTTTGTTTGACTTGCGACAGAAAACTTTGAAAAGTATTGTTTTAAGGATGTGCTTTAAACTTGGTCACGCTTTTTAAAAAATTCACACCAAGAGCCACTATGCGGGCTCTTGTTTACACACAACTGTTCCATTTAGGGCCCGACAGAAGAAAACATAATAAACTTATCACGCATACAAACGGCCAAATTTTTATTTTAAAAAAAATCAATTTTGCACGTGCATCACGCTGTTTTATACATTTTTTGTCGTCACTGCACGACTTCGACGTGAAATCGCCTAATTGCACATTTTATGGAGGACGTAAACAAGCGACGACGAATTCTTTTGGGGGCAGCGTGGCCGAGTTGTCGGCGTGACGGACTCGCAATCCAGCGGTCCCGGGCTCGATTCCCGCTCTGGCCACTTGCTGGATTTGTTCTTGGTCGTTCCGAGTTCAAATCCTTGACCACGCTTGTAAATAGCCAACTGGTGCAGCCTCCAGCCAGTTGGGGTTTTTCTGAATCCTGTTATGTTCTATTTGCATCATTTGGTGCAGAATTATTTAAGGGGAGTGCCTGTAAACTAGCTGGATAAGCTAATTGCATTTTCCACTTTAAACAAACCTTTAACCTTTTCTTTCTCTTTCTTAACTTGAGTGCGGCCCCCAAGAAATCAACCACTGGGAGATTTGCCTTCATTTGACATTTTCAGCAAATTGGAATATTAAAATGCGACAAAGTTTGACGAAACGCGCATTCATTTTAAAAGTGACGCTTTCGCTGCCGTCGCCTTCGGAAACTCCATATTTGCTTTAGAAATCGTAAGCGGTAAATTGTCAACTACCAAAGAGTATCATGTATTAAAACTTTTTTTTTTGCTGTAAACATAATACTTTCAGCTTGATGGTGCAGTTTTCATTTTAGGTGTTATTGCGGGATACTTTTTCTTAATCACTCAGCCCCTCCCTAAAAAGGAGGATTCTATTTAGTGGCTTAGAGTTTATGATAGAAGTATATAAACGGAGGCTTCGCTTTTAGCCTAGCCTGTTAAGCAGGCCTATTTTGGCTGGGCGAAAGCTGCTTGTTTATGTTCGTACTTTTGAAGCTGTCATCTTTGGTTTTATATCAGAGGAAGATTCGGGAGAGTAGAAATAGCAACGCTTGGAACAGGTGCAAGGGCGAAAGAAGGAGGAGGAGGAGGGAAAAAAATTCTTTTCTCTTTCGCCGCCCCCTCCCCCGCTCCCTCGAGTTGCATTTGGGTTGCCATACCTGTTTTTTGAGTTATTTTACGTTTGTATGCCTGTGGTGCGGACGGACGGGCGGACGTTTGGTCACGTGATCACCAAAATTTCTCGGATGGGTAGATTACCACATTTTTTTATGTATGGGGTGACGCTCAAGCGCGCGCATGGAGCTCCGCTAAAAGACTGAGGAGAAATAAACAGGCGGCAGCTAGGATAAATGTTACCAGCGAGTTCTGGTCCTGAAGAGATTATTATTTGTAAGCTCAGAGCCAATTGTAGGGTGTGTCTGATTCGTAATGTAAGATATGATTCTTTTTTTTAACTCTGTAGATCATTTTTGAAGGTATTGCTGGAACAGGATATTATGGTAGTGATGTTGCTGTTGATGATATATCTGTCAATCTATCTTCATCCTGCCAGTTCAACCCAAAAAATGCCCGTCCAGTACCAGCAACAACACAATCTAAAAGTAAGTCATTTCACAAGTTAAAGATTTTTAAATCGTAATCAGATTTCAATAAAATATGTTGCATAAGATTTCCGTTATTGTTGTTACAACGTTTTCCAGGTTCAAAATAGCAGCCCGCTGGCCGCGTGACTGGTAATTTCACCTTGTTGCAAGAATTTTTTTCAATTTTTTTTACAGAGTACCAATCACGGTTAAGACAGTACCTTTTGTGTCTGTTTGATGCGGTTAAATGCTTGTGTTCATTGACATAATAATGACTGGCTGCGCATTGCAGTATTTGTGTTTCTTAGCCCACAAGTGACCTTTTCTTGTGACTTGAGCTTCAAGTAGCTCAGTGTTCAGAGCATTCGACTGAATAGCCTGCAGTGCAGGCGTTTTCTTCAGGCGCGTGAATGTTTCGCTCGCGAAAGCGCATGTTGAAACTGGAAGATGGCGGTTACAACAATACAAACATAAACAACCAGCTTTCGCTCGCCCAAAATACGCCTGCACTGCAGGCTACGGACTGAAGAAAACAGAATGTTGTGGGCTGGGAAAATGATACTTAACCCGTGTAGTTTTGAAAAGACTTAAGTTCCCATAGGATGACCGAACAGATACAAATTTTATAGCGCCAATTAAAATGCATTTCTAGACATCTAAGAATACTCTGATAGCCTAAAAACCGTCGTTGGATGCCCGTGTTTGGTCTCTCACTGTTACTACAGTACTTCAAAGATACCATATTCAAAGATGGCAAAAGCTCTTTTGAATTCTACAAAAACGAAACAGCCCAAAAACCATTATTAGTTCCGCATCAATCCTTTCTTCTGTTTCTTGTATAGTGGAAACTCGTGGTTAAAGGAAATCGCGTAAGTCACAATTTATCGGGAAAATAACCACATAGCAAGCAAAAACAAGCAAAGTAAATAAAGTAAGCTGTATTTTATTGAAAATGCTAGCGAGTATTTATCTTCTTGAATCTTTTACCTGAATTCCCATGCAAATCCTTTATGTTCATGGCCATTTTAAGGATTACGCAATTCGAGACCACACGTATTAATGATTAAACCCATCAACAACAGATGGGTGTGCGGAAGGAAATCATGATATTCACGTTCAAAAAAAAACTTCACACATGTAATTATTCAAGTCCAGGCATTTCAGAGAAAACCAAAGAAAGTAAGGTTATTTGGCCGTAATAAAAAAGCTTACGGCTTAGTAGACTGCAAAGCAGTCCGTATTTTTGCGTATTCAAATACGCGCGAGTAGTCAAACAAAAGGTCTGGAACGAGTCTGAAAAGTGAGGCTCGCGCGCTTCGTGCTCGTAAGACTCTTACGGCACGCTTTACCGATTTCTTTATTGATTTTGAGAAAAAAGCCGACTGTTTTGCAGTCTAACGGCTTAGTAAAAGAAAATCATTTAATGGTAAACGGCATCTGCGATCATGGTCATGACTCCTAACCTCTAAATGTGAGACTGAAAGCGGCCAAAAGAAACACATTGCTTAGTCACAGTGTAGAATACTCCATGCACTGCATAAACTACGCAAAAAGAAAATAAGAAAAACCTGTTATTCAAGCTGACTCTAAGGTCACGTTTCACACTATCACGAGCTCAATCTCTCTTGTCACGAGCTATTAATCGTGTTTGGCCTGTCAACACTTGATTCAAATCGGACTAATCACAAAATGCGTAAGAAACTACCCAATCAAAAACGCCGACATATGTCCTTGCGACTCTGTGGGATTCGAACAAGATTTTGTGCACCAATTCGCAGACGCTCTATTAAGAAGATAGAGCGCCTGCGACGCAGGTAATTTTGGTGACTCTCAACATGACCGACACCTCTCTAAGACGGACAGCTAGAATTGATCCCTGCCTTTCTTTATTCCCTCTATTTGACTCTCTATAGGATGGACACCTCTGTAAAACGGACACCTAGAGTTGGTCCCTGCCTTGCGTTACTCCTTTTATATTTGACTCTCTGTAATATGGACATCTCTCTAAGATGAACACTTAGTGCCGGTACCAAAGGTGTCCGTCTTAGAGAGAGTTGACTGTATAGTTCTTAAATATTAATTATAGAGCTTAAACTATTGTTATGTTGGGACTGAATGTTCTTTGTGATAACATTTCTTTTTTTATTGCAGCAATTAGATTAGTGCCAAGACCTGGATCATCTGTTAAGTCAGCTGGTCGTGTTGAAGTGTACCACAATAAGAGATGGGGTACAGTGTGCAGTAATTATTGGTTTGGCGATAGCTTTGACATAAAAGCCGCTACTGTTGTGTGTAAGGAGTTGGGTTATGAGGGTGCTGAATTGGTCGTACCTTGCTGTCAGGTTTTTGATAAAGGAACAGGTCACATATGGCTAGATCGTGTCAGGTGTCTTGGAACAGAACCATCTATAACCATGTGCCCACATAGTGGTTGGGGGAATACATACTGCAGTCATGATTCAGATATTGCAGTTATTTGCAAAACTAAAGAAACAGACAGATCTGGTAGGTTGATTTTCAATAATGTGCGGCCTCCAAGGTCGAAAAAATTAAAATTAACCAACTGTTACAGTTTTCGCTTCCGTTATTCACCATAACAAACCTCTCAAGAAACAGGTTTTTTTTAGCGTGTTCAAAAAGTAAGGTCTGTAGGTTTTAATTTGCAGATTTCGATCCTTTTTGTTGTTTGGTTACGTCGGTTTTATTTATGGCATCCTCTACCACGGTAGTGGGAAATTACTTTAGCCTAAATCACCAGGCCATTGACGCTAAATTGAAATTTAAATCACTGGCGCCGTGCGCATGCTCGGAAATGATATTTTACCTTAGCGCCAATTCCTACAACTAGAAGAACTGCCTTGTGGCGTAGTCGCCATTACGTGAGCATAAAAGTCGACCTTTCTCGCCATTTGTTTGTTTTACTCCCGTTTTAAAACCTATAAGACATGGTTGTTTACTTTATCAAGAAAGTATTTATCGCTTCTGGATATCCAGTTATTTCGTCTTGTATCCGCTTTTTTAATTTGAAAATTCTGTTCACAAACGAGTGTGGCTGTTGGGCGCAGAACAATTTGCTAAGGGACTGTATAATTTGCAGTGCTACAGCAATCCCAGAGATGTTTAGTTTTTGAACTCTAAACTCAACTAAAAATTCATCATTTTCCATTTCGTCGAGCTCAATCGACAGAAGTACGAATCAAGCAATTACAAGCCACTAGTACACAGAGGTTTGGAATGTTTTCCTCTTTGCAGAGTTTGCCGTAAGACTTGGTAACGAAACTGGAGTAAATTTCCAAGGACGTGTGGAAGTGAACATTGGTGGTATATGGGGTACAGTGACAGACCGTGGTTGGGATATATATGATGCTAATGTGGTGTGTAAGCAGCTTGGCTTTAAAGGAGCCGTTGGAGCATTCATAGGAAGTAGTTTTGGTAAAGGGAGTGGCCCTATTTGGATGTCTGATTTCGACTGCAATGGAACGGAGAATAAACTTGCTCAATGCAATCACTCCAATACTGAGAAACAGAAGACTTGGGGTCACTATTTAGATGCCAGTGTAGAATGCTATGGTGAGTACTTACATTGATCTTTCAAGATGAATTTGAATAATTTTTGTACGGGTAGTATAAGTATTAGTATTAGCGGAGCTCCACGCGCGCGCGTGGGCGGAGCCCCATAGCTAAATAAATCTACCCATCCCAGAAAATTTGGTAATCACGTGACCGTACACCGACCGCCGACCGACCGTCCGTCCGCACCACAGGAAAGCCAACGTTTACTCTCACACTTTTAGCTAGTTTGGGAGCCCAAGCGAAAACTAATTGCACATCAATGTTGTGATCAATTGACAGCTATCAAAACAGGGCATCCGCTGACCATTATCACCTGACCGTACCGCGGGCTCAAGTGTCGACCCATCGAGGTTGAGTATTTTTTTGAAGTTATCCGCTGACAAATTACCAGTCTCAAATGATCATGATCGCAGGCTCAAGTTTATTTTTTTTCCAAGGATTCATATCAAATATGTTGTGTTTATGTCATTATGGCCCCGCACTATTAGGATTTTCATTTCAAACTGACCTCGGAATCAAAAATTCAACCAGTTTTTTAAAAGTATTGGCGGGGAAGACCTTATCTTACCATGGTCACGCGTTGGTCACGCTCTACGTCCAATTTTTATACTCTGATGGGTCAAAATTTGACAGGTGAGTTCAAGCGGAAAAATTATGCAGCATCTTGAAAGTTGTTTACTTTGACAGCTGAAGCTGACAGAGTTTTGCGTCAACTTGTGATGTTTTTAACTGTCTTTTTCCTCTGGATGTACAAAATGAAATACAGCTGCTATCAAGAGTCTTCTGTTATTCATGGCTGGTTTGTGTACTGGGTTTTTGGTTGAGAAATGCGTCGCTTGTCAAAATTTGGTAATTCGATTTCGGATGGCATCGTTTTCGTTTTTCACCTTGCTTAATGCGTAAGAGGGTTTAAAAGTCTCAAGCAACTGTGGCCTTCCTTGATAGCTTTCAGGAACTGAATCTCGAATGGTAAGCCTAAGTAATTATTGTATTTGATGTTTGTATTTCATGAAGTCTTGCACAGTTCACGCTGATAGTCTATGCGGCAAGTTTATCCACGTTTGTAGGATTTGAGTCAATGATCTGACCTAGTATCAGGTTTGATATAAGCTTACAGAACTTTAAAAAGTCTGCAGATATATTTTCTCACCACAAATAGAAAGAAAACGTTCCGAAGAATATTTAGTTATAAATTTGGCTGTAGAAAGAAAACTCTGAGTGATTTTCTTGCTTCGAGGAGTTCACCTTGGAAAACAGTAAACACCGCGCCGGGAAGCCGGCTTAAGCGGTACTGTACGCTTAAAGACTCAGGATTTTTAGAGACACTTTAATACTTGTCTTCGTGAATGAAAATTGTTGTCTCTGTAAATGTTTCACCGAATTATATTTCTTTTTTGGATTGTTAGTAGTCTCTCTTGCAATTTTAATCGCTTGTCCGTGCCGTTTGTTTTCATCGTTCATGACCTTCGCTTGCAGGGGTACTCAAAAATGTCGCGCGTATCAAACGCTTTATAAGATTACACATCGTTATAACCGAAACCATTAAATAATAAAAAATAAGAAGAAGAAGAAATTCGCTATTATGTTGAAGCGTAACTCTATTAAAGTTCATTCAAACACTCGACCACGCTGACGGCTCGCACTATAGAAACGAGAACCAACTGGCCGTACGGGTGATTTTAGAAATTTTTGAAAGGTTTCTCTTAAAGCCCAGGATTGATCGTCCTGAATATTAACTGAGTGCAATTTGTCTTGAAAAATTATGAAATACCGCATTCTGTCCTAGGTCTGCATGATAAATAGTACTGTTTCACCTCAGATGTGATGCATAAAAATTATGAAAGGTTGGTTTAAACACCCCCAGATTTGTTGGCAAGAATTTGTAAAGTAAACCTGTCAAACGCAAAAAAATTTGGCGTGATTTGTTTTCCAAGAATTTGTTTTCGAGGCCTAATCTACTGTGATCTTGAATGTGATCGCAGATGTTTGCTATTTTTTGGGTGTACATATAAGGTTATCAATTCGATGTAAGATGCTTCACTCTAAAATAACTTAGCCTTTCCCTCAAAAGTCACATGAATGTGCCCTTAAGTTAACTGATTTGTGGATTGAAAGTTTATTGTTTGATTTAAATTATAAATTTATTAATTGGAGCTTCGCTTTTGGCCCTGGCTAAATCTATATATTAGTTATAGTATTAGTATTAGTAATGGTAACAGGACTGAGTAGAGGCCAATTCGGTCTGTACTCATACGAGTGATTAACAAAATCGGACGACCGCGTAGCGGGGGTCCGATTTCTTTAATCGCGAGTATGACTACAGACCGAATTGGACGACACGAAGTTCTGTTACCAATTAATCATAACTTTAACAAAATTTGTGATATATAAGGCTCCTTTTTTTTTAATGAAAACACAAGAAATTCCGAGATTTTTTTGCTAGCAGTAAAAAAAAAGGCCAGTTAAGCGGCGCGCGTGATGGCGGGTACTGTCCAATTACTTAGGCATGACGCGTACTGTCTTCTTTAACTGTCCTATGAAGGCTGAAATCAGGGCAGTTTATAGCCAATCAGATTTAAGAATTTGTTATAGTTATGATTAGTGTTGTTATTGTTAGTGTTAGTGTTAGTATTCGTGTTCGTATTTGTTTTAGTATTAGTATTATTATCATCGTTATCTTTATCAATATTATTTTATTTTATCATCTCTTGTGGAAGAGGAATCTGTAGCAATAATATCAAGTTGTTTTGCCCCATGCATCCATTGAATGCAACGAGGCTTTTTTTACTAAAAAACATAAATGATTATTACATTACTTTTTTAGAATGACCACAAACTCATGTTTATTTTTGTTAGGGCCGGGAAAAACAACAAATCAGACGAGACAAAAGCTTTTATTTTAGTTACAAGCTGGGATTGCAAAATCAGCATATAATGTAAACATTGCTAAAGAACCGGCGTTTCTAATATAGGTCTACAAAAAGTAAATGCATTAGTGATCGCATATTTCTTTAAGCGATTTGTTTTAACGAAAAATTTAAGTTAAAAAATATTCATTACACAGGTACCAGGCAAAAAAGCAAAAACCTAGCTATCAACGGACTAACCATTAAGTTTATTCACTAAAAGTTTATCTGGTTTATGTACATTTTGATTTGTTGAGGCAGTCTGCTCAAGGTCCTTGCCCAAGAACAATAGAAATTTGTAAAAACAAATCGAGGGACCTTTCTGATTTTTTACTCAAGGTTAACACAATATTTTTTTTTTCACACAGTCACACACACACTATACTTTATTTTCACACTCATTTTCACACTCGTTTTGCCATCTCCGCCTGCAAATAGCAAAAGCTAGACGAGGCGGGCGGAGAGGAAAGGTTACAGCAGTCATAACAGATGATATTGTAGTCGTAACAGATGATATTGTATTTCTCATCGAAAGAGATTAGATGGTCGTTATTGTCTAATTTACATCACCTGTAACACCTCCTTTTGTCCTTCCTTTAATAATAGTTTCAACGTTTGCTTGAACAGTAGATCAACTAACCTTTCAGGTTTTTGTTGTAATCTTCAGATTTAAGACTTGCAAATGGTGGTTCGAGTGCGAGTGGGCGAGTGGAAGTTAGGTATGGAGGCTTTTGGGGAACAATTTGCAAGCACAACTGGGATATAACTGCTAGTAACTTAGTCTGCAAACAGTTAGGATACAAGCGAGCAGAATCGGTGGCTAACTTTGGTCCTGGATCAGGTCAGATTTTCCTGGATAATGTACAGTGTAAAGGAAATGAACCGGGCCTGTCTTTCTGTCGTCACCGGGGCTGGTTTGCTCATAACTGCACTCACAATGATGATGTGGGAATAGTCTGTACAAACGGTAAGAAAAGACGTATTAACTTGGCTCCGAGGCTTGGGGAAATAAAAGAAGAAAGGTTTTACCCAAAGTGATGTCTTTTGTTTTATTCCCAAAGCCTGGAGGTCAATTATGAAGTTTAATATTTCGAAATTGGTTGTTAAACAGAACACTTATTTAATCGCCTCACCCCCTCTCCCACAAGTGGTATGGAAAGAAAGCGCAACATAAACAGACTGCCACAAATATATCGCCCTGCTGGATAGTATTCACTTGTGATCTTGATGTGTAAACAATTACATGTTTTAAATTTTCAAGTGTAGAAATTTGCAATTCCATTACATTCCCTTTGCTTTCTAGCTGCTGTTGGATTAGCAGTGGTGTGGGATCCAGGAGGGGTGGGGTGGGGGGTCCGGAGTCCCTTAAATATATCCGTCAGACGTGACGATTTTTTATAGGCAGTGCTTCAGCTAACTAACATGAAATTGAAATAACCCCAGATTAGTCACTTACAATTTTCATCTCGTAAATAAAAAATAAAACGTACCTTTCACGAGTTGCGTTTCAGCTTTAGCATTGGTTATCTGGACAAAGTTATCACAAGGGACGATTGTAGAATGCCACATGTACTGCACGTATCATGATGGTGTGGGTCTAACTAATGGAAAACAATGTGTTACGGCGTGGAAGAATGGAAATAGGCGCTTTGCAGATAGTCATTGCACTTGCTACCGCCATGCTGGACAGCAAGGGACTCACTTGGACCAGACAAACAAAAGGCTTAAAATGCATCGCTTAAAATAATAATTTCCTTTGTTTTTCTTGTCATAGCCAGCGAGCAGGCTCACTTGTGCGAGTGCGGGAGCTCGGAGCTGACAGCACGCGAGGAAAAGAGATAGTATAACTTTTTCCTCGCGCGCTGTACCGCTCGTACAAGTGAGTCTGCTCGCACGGTAGTCTTCGTCTCAGGCATCTCTTGCTCTCCAGTAAGGCCGTTGAACCACGTGAATGACAAGCTGCAAAGGCCTGTTATTGGCTTCAACGGTGTGCACAAGTTGAACACCCCTCGGAACGAAAGTACCTCGGTCCGTGTTTGATGAGTGTCTTCAATCATAAGGTGATTTAAAAACTTGTTTTTTACTTTTCTTGAAGCAACCTGCAGTCAAAAGGTACCATGTAAAAACGGTGGCTCATGTCACTCTGGCGTTTGTAACTGTGCGCAGTACTTCGTCGGAGAATTATGCCAGCTGCCTGTAGGTAAGAAAACCTAACACTTGAATTGAAATATATGAAATTAGTCATATTTTGAACTGCTGATCAAGATATGAAATTGAGCATGATCTTCGCAGTAGAATGAACAACTTAAGCGGTTGAAAAAAAAATCTGAAAAAATTCAGGGTTCGATTCCCGGTCAAGCCTGAATTTTTCAGGTTCTTTTTCATCCGCTTAGGTTGTTCATTTTTATACCGCGAAGATCATGTTCACTTTGATAAACACTTTAAGTGATCTGTGTCTGTCTGTAGTTTAGTTGAAGTGGGTTAAATAATCCAGCTAGTAATGGCCTGACAATGAGAATGGTAGATATCAATTTAAACACAAAATGGTTCTCAGATAAGTCACTCATTCCGTTGTGAAGCGAAGAGCAGTGTCTGTCTGCGCCCTTCCCCAAGCAGTTAATCATTTGGTTTGCTAACAACACAACACTAACTGACCTAGTCCTGGCTTCAAGAAAACATAATGGAACCCTGGCACTATGCTAGGACTGGGAATATGTGATCATCACTGCTAAATATTGTTATAAACGGATTTTGTGAGAAGACACCCAACGTCTTTGTTGGTATGGCGTCCTAACAGTAACGGTGTTTAGATGCGTTACTCAGCATGGACAGGACTTAGCTAAACATTCGATTTTGATCTCCCGCTTGGGGTTACCGGATACCTTCGGGGGTGTCTCAGCTTCAAGAGATGCAGCGTGTCCCGGTTAAACTGCAGATACCTAAAATCCTATATCAAATTACAGCTTATTGAACTGGCTTTCTTAATAAACCAACAATCCCAAACTCCGGTCGAAATATATGAGAATAAACTAGGTATTGTCCGCTTATTCGTGCTTCGATCCACACTTTTAACGCCCCTTTGGGTACCCCCTAAAGATCTAAAGTAATCCCATCAAGCCTTGGGCCTCAACCATGTGCTCCCAGGTTTCCGCTGTGCTTCGATCCATAGACAGGTGAGTATTTTTCGCTCGTATTCGAGCTTTTATTTCTCCCCCTTTTTGTTGTTTTAGCTTACTGTTTTCTTGTAGGAGTTTTATCTGCGGTGATTTACTTCAACTACGAAATTTCGACGCCAGATACGATGCCGCCACATCGCAAAGGTAAATCACGGTCACATTCTCCTTCCCGCCATTCGAACGATCGGGACTCGCCATCTTCACCCAAACGTCGTCCTTCAATAGACAATGACAAGCTGGAGTCCATTCTCAAAATGTTACCAATTATGATAGCCGTCTGGCCCTTTTTGAGCCCCGCTTTGAACAACAGAAAACTGCCCTCGAGCGGGCTTGTATTACCGACTACGATGCCATTTTCCTGCTGGGATCTGAAGACATCGCGCTCGATTGTGTTAATGAAGAGGGGGCTATTAAGCCATCAAACGAGGCAGAATTGCCAACAAATGAGGCTACTGAGCCATCGAACGGCACTTCGAGTTCGGGCATTGTAAACTCAAGTTCAAATGAGAACACCGAAGGGGCATGTTATGACCCCGACGCTTCTGTCACATGCTGGAAACCCTCCAAGGATTTTTCCTCATTCTTGGAAAAGAATTTCCGTTGGAAACTAAGTTATGATCAAGTCCTGGATGTTTTGGAAACGAACAGTGTTTCCTCTGTTGACGCTTTAGCGTCTCCTACCCTTGATCTAGCGATCATCAACCAGATCTCAAATCCACTGTCCAAGAAACATGCTCAAGAACGTGATAAGGAAATAGTTTCTGTCCAGCGTTCTGTACTTGATGCGACTGGCCCCTTGTGTTGTCTACATGATGCCCTTGAATCGAATGACAATATTAATGTCTCTAATAAGGATGTAAAGTTTATGTTAGAGCAGGCACTATGCCTTCTTGGTTCTGCTAATTATCAGATTTCAGTATTGAGAAGAAAGAAAGAATGTTATTTGGGGATGACTTTCCATCCCTCGCCTCGAAACAGGCTGACCTGTCACGTGGCCTTTCTAAAAATCTCTCATCAAATGCAAGGCGCCAAGTTTCTAGCTCTACCCAACGTTGTGGATCTAGGCCAGTCCCCTTGCGGAGCTCCTTTAACTCTGGGTCTTTTACCTCTTCAAAGTACCCTCAGAACCGTCCAAAAGAACGCTTTTTTCGTCCTGAAAGGACGATCCAACAAGAATCAACCAGCACCTACCTCAGTGGGAGCAAATAACGTCAGATCCAGAGGTGTTAAGTATTGTAAAGGGTTTTCAAATAGATTTTCATTCAACCCCAGTTCAGTCTTGCCCTCCTGTCACAAGGGCAAGTTTTTCAGAAACCCAGCTGATCGATGCCGAGGTCCAGGAATTGTTAAAGAAAGGAGCTATTCAGGACGTCAGTCCCTCAGACCAGGCCTTTTACAACGGTCTATTTCTTGTTCCCAAGAAAGAGGGCACTTACCCGCCCGTGATAGAGTTGAGTTCATTAAAGCGTTTTGTTCCCCACGTTCATTTTCAGATCGAGGGGCTCCATTGTTTAAAGACCCTTCTAAGGAAAGGGGACTACATGACAAGTATAGATCTAAAAGACACATATTTTTCCGTTCTAATTCACAAATCCTCTCAAAGGTTTCTTGGTTTCATCTGGGGCACAAAACACTACACCTTTCTGGGTCTCCCTTTCGGTCTCAGCTCAGCACCCCGAATATTCACCAAGCTCCTGAAACCTGTAGCCGCCTTCCTGAGGAAGCAGGGGTATCGCATAATAATTTATTTAGACGACGTCCTTCTTCTTCTTGCCTCCTCCAAAGAGGAAGCATTGCGTCTAACTTAAATGTCGTTAAGTCTATTACAGTCCCTGGGCTTTCTCATAAACTGGACGAAATCAACACTGTCCCCCGTTCAGTCAATAACATACCTCGGTTTTGTCATAAGCTCTGTGAATATGACCATTTACTTATCAGAGGCCAAAGTTCAAAGGGTTTATGCAGTTTGCAACAACTCTCTCTCTCAACCTCAAATGTCAGGACGACAGCTCGCCAGCCTCCTAGGAACCCTGGAGTCTTGTCGCCTTGCCATATGGGTAGCCCCCTTGCACCTAAGGGCTCTTCAAATCCTGCTCATACAAACCCTGAGGAACCACCAGTTCGACTACAACTGTCCAGTATTTCTCAATCTCAAGTCTCGAGCAGAGCTAACCTGGTGGCTAAACAATTTACCCAAGGTCAACGGCAACCCTGTTTCCCCCCCACCACAGGATCTCACAATTCTCTCAAATGCTTTAATGCAAGGTTGGGGTGCCACGTGTCAGGGCAAGACCACTAACGGCAAATGGTCCAGTCAGGAATCAATCCAGCACATCAACCTCCTGGAATTAAAAGCAGCATTTCTTGGCCTCAAAACATTCCTCAAGAACCAGTCTCACAAGGTTGTTCTAGTTACGTTGGACAACTCCATGGCAGTAGCTTATCTCAACAACAAAGGAGGCACCCACTCAGTTCCTCTGATGTCCTTAGCTCTGGAAATCTGGACATGGTGTCTTCAGAGAAACGTCTTAATTTCAGCACAGCATGTTCCTGGAAAAGAAAATACTATAGCCGACTTAGAGTCTCGTACCTTCCTTGACTCAACCGACTGGCAACTCGATCCAACGGTAATCTCAGCCTTCCTTACAAATTGCAACACGGATCTTTTTGCCAGCCGCCTAACAGCACAGCTACCCCAATATGTAAGTTGGCGACCAGATCCAGGAGCATTTCATATAGACGCTCTAACACTTCACTGGAAGTCTCTGATGGGTTATGCTTCTCCCCCCCCCTTCAATCTAATTCCAGTAGTTCTCAACAAGGTGATTCAGGACATTGCAGATCTGCTTCTTGTAGCTCCAATTTGGCAAGCTCAGCCATGGTGGCCCATCCTATTGAGTCCTCTAGTCAGCAACCCTGTGTTACTTCCACGCAGTCAACACCTCATGCGGATCTCTCAGATTCAAGCAAGGTACATGCAATGTTCCCTCGCCTTCATCTGACCGTGTGTCGAGTCTCCAGCAGTACTATCAAACAGAAGGCTTTCCTGGACAGGTTACCAAACTGCTCCTCTCAGCAACTCGGTCTTCCACTCGAAAGGCCTACGAATCAGCATGGTCCTGCTGGAGTCGCTGGTGTGCTAAAGGGAAAATTTATCCTGTTTCAGCCACACTCTCAAAAATTCTTGAGTTTTTAGCAGTTGCTTTTTCAGATGGTTTGGCGTACCGCTCCATAAATGTTCTGCGTTCAGCTCTTTCATCTACACATTCGAGGATAGACAACTTCCTTGTTGGCCAACATCCTCCTGTCACCAAGCTCATGAAGGGTATACTGAACTGCCGCCCACCAAAGCCACGATACTCATATACTTGGGATGTCAAGAAAGTGACAGCACACCTTGCCTCCTTGGGAAGTAACAACTCCCTATCCCTGAAGCAGTTGTCAAGGAAACTTGTTATGCTCTTTGCCCTGGCTTGTTCAGAAAGGACTGGCTAAATTAGATCTTAGATACTGTAGAGTCATCCCAGAAGGAGTTGTTTTTTCCCTTACTTCTCCAAGAAAGCGTGGCAACCCTAATCAGCTAGCTCAGGCCTTCCTAGCTCGTTTTCCGCACAATCAAAAATTATGCCCTGTCGAGACCTTTCGTCATTACCTTAAGAAGACGTGCTCAGTTCGCCCCACTGTACCCTGCTCCAAACCAGACCCTCTGTTCATCTCATATGCAAAGCCTCACAAAGCCATTTCCTCTGTTACTATGGGGCGCTGGCTCCGCCTTTCCATTCAAGATGCTGATATCAATACGGACATTTTCAAGGCCCACTCTCTGCGGCACCCAGTGGCAGTGTTTCTCTGGATGAGATTATGAAAATAGCTGATAGTTCATGTTCCTCCACCTTCCAGAAGTTCTACTACAAGCCAGTATTCAATTCCAAATAATACTCTTTAAAATATTTTTCAGTTTTTCTATTAAACTGTAAAACTCGTCATGCATTTTCTACTTGGAAGGAACTAATTCGAAAATCACTGTGTTTGCCCCTTTTCAGGAATATCACAGAAATTGTGAAAAACATTAAGTTTATATGGTTTGGGGGGACGCTGTAACAAAATTGCAGACGTTTGTATGGATTTTTAACCATGTTTCAAGGGTTATAACTTGATCCCTGTCCAACCTTACAGCACCAAGCTTGGTCAAATAACCAATCTCAACATGACCTTTTATTTGGTGGTGTCCGTTTATCGATAGTTTAAATTTGAAACTCGCCCCAGTTCCCTACGCAACTCCGAAATGGCCAATTAATGTCACCACAGAGGGCCACAAGCATTTAGGCACGGCTCTAGGATCAAGATCGTTCCTTGAAGAATATGTTGGCGAGAAAGTAGACGAATGGGTCAATAAGGTTACTAAACCCGCAGATTTCGCCATATCACAGCCTCAAGCCTGCTATGCAGCCTTCACTTTTGGTCTGCGGCACCGTTGGACATATTTCCGACGAACATTACCGGATATTGCAGAATTACTTGAGCCACTCGAGCGCACGATTAATGAAGTTTTCATACCAGCTGTCACTGACCATACAGTCACTAAAGTAGAGCGCGACCTCCTTGGTCTCCCTGTGCGCGTGGGAAGCCTTGGATTTACAGATCCTGTATGTAGTGACCTCATCTTCTGAATACGAGGCTTCAATCAAAGTTACTAATCCGCTCGTGAGGCGAATTGTTCAGCAAGAGCACCAACCTCCAGACGCCTCAGAAATTCAAACACTGCAACTGAGCACACGAAAACAAAAAGATGACTGTCCGGTGAGAGGCTGGAGCAAGTGAAGAAAGCTACAGAGAAGGGATCTTCAAATTGGCTGACCGTGATTCCCCTCAAAGAGTTGGATTACAATCTGAATAAGAAGGAATTTAGAGATGCAATCAAGTTACGGTACGACTGGGAAATAACCGACACACCCATGCTCTCCGCATGCGGTGTTCAATTTAGCGTGGATCACCCAATGGTGTGTCAGCGCGGCGGCTTCATTATCCAGCGCCACAATAAACTGCGCTACTTGGAGGCAGAGATGCTAAGGATGGTCTGTAATGATGTGGAAGTAGAGCCGGTCCTTCATGAGTTCACTGGGGAGACATTAAATCATGGCGCTAACAAAGCCCCTGATGCCCGTTTGGATATTCATGCTCCGGCGAGGTTTTTGGGAGAGACAGAGATCTGCATTCTTCAACGTTCGGGTGTGTCACCCTAATGCAGACTCTTACAGAGACTTGACTCCTAAGGAGATCTACAAGAAACATGAGAACGAGAAGAAGAGGCAGTATGCGAAAAGAGTAATTCAGATCGAACAGGGAACGTTCCCTCCCCTAGTTTTCAAGGCCACAGGTGGAATGGCGGATGAGTGTGTTAAGTACCACAGCAGTCTTGCGGCGCTGATCGCAAATAAGAAGAGAGAAAGTTACTCAAGCGCAATTTCCTGGATAAGAGCTTAAGTATCCTTCGCCATCGTACGCTCTGCGATACTATGCTTGAGAGGCTCAAGATCCAGAAGACAGCTAGACTTTGTTGACTCAGACCTACAGATCGTACTGTTAGAGCCTGCCCGAATTAATCTTTATTTTTCTTTATTACTTTTTTTTAAGGATCTTTTTGTAAAGAATTAGGAATTTTAGGAATACGAGATTTTATTCTTTTAAACTCGTTTTCTTTTCAATATCAGAGACGGATAATTCTCTTTTGTAATGACTTAATTTAAAACTCTGGACTGCCTGCAAGAGTCATTGACCGCATTTGAGCCGCACGGAGTGTATCTGCGAAATCGTTATTGACAAAGTGATTGCTATTTTTATGATTTATATAATTCTGAATGCTATATAGTGCTTAATTCTTTCTTCAAATATTTCTGTAAATTATGTACATATATATTTTTGAAAGTTCAGTAAAATTATTGTTTCCTCCTCTAATAATGCCAACAATAAAAATTAATGCTCCGGATCAAAACCCGCCAACCATGAGCGACTTTCGTGATACACCAACCACTAGCAGCCTTAGTGGTACAAATAGTCCTACACAGTGAATCAACATTGTAGGTCAATCGAAAACAAATTCCTTTGAGTTTTCACTTTCGGAAGCTGATCCTCGCGGTCGCATTGAAAAAAGATATATATGTAAAAAAAACAGTGCAAGTTTTTAATTATTATTGTTTAATTATTAATATAGTTTTTCAGTAAGCTTTGATTTGATAAATTATAGGGTCTTAGGCCTAGGCCAAACGTGGAACTTTTCATGAGTCGAACCAAACTTCGCGAGTGAAGTTCATGAAAAGTTCGACTGCTGGCTCAGGTAACTTCGTCTGAATGAGTTTGGATCGTCCAACACGTTCTCAGTGTATCCGGGACAAAAGTCAATCTTCACATTCGACGAACTAAACCAATAAAAGAAAAATTTGCGAGAATGTATATTTAGCCTCATTGGGCTAAAATTGCTTTTTTGGTCTGATTCAGTGTTTTTGGTTCGCGGTGTCCTAAGTTCGACGTCTGACCCAGCAGACGATCTAAATTAAGGTCGACGCAAATTGGAGTTTGGTTCGTCTCATGAAAAGTTCGACGTTTGGCCTAGGTCTTAGGTATCTGCAAATTAAGCGGAATTCGCTATCCGGTAACCTTAATAACCTAACGATTTTACTGTTAGTGTAACAATGATGGTTATGATTGTAGGCATACAGCTATTTGAATTTCATTTCGTTATCGTTGTCACGGTTTTTTTTTTTTTTTTTTTTTTAGAAAACAAAACTGTTAATGTAGAATTTGGTGTGAAAATTCAACAGGTATGAACATTTCTTTCAGTTTCCTCTGTTGTTTTGAAGACAAAGAAATGAGTGGGTGGTAAAAACGTGAATACATAACGTTTTTTTTTTTTTTTCACACAAGCATCTGACTTTTTTTTAGATCTCTGCACATTTTCCTCCTTTTTTCGTAACGTGACAAAGGGTCTTTAACCTCTGATATGAACTGCATCTAGAGGACAGCATTTTTTTCATCCAACTGACTGACTGACTGACTGTCCCAAGTAAATAGGGGTGATAATTCCATTAGTTTCTCATATTTTTTCTCATATTTTCTCTCAATTGCTTTTAACACTCCCGAAGAGCAAACAGGATGCTATTTAAACGTGGTCTAACGGACGATATGTAAACATATGGAACAAATTGCTGTGTTCTCCTAAAACCTACCTTAAAACACTTATTTCTAGCTTTAGTATAAGCAGTGGTTCAAGATGTATAGAGTAATATGTGGATTGTGTTTGCTGTTTAGTGGAATAAGACAAGCTTTATACATAATCTGGTTCAAGATCTTAACAATTACTGCTCCAGCAGTAACTGTTCCGCATCTTTAAGGTAAGTGTACCAGCTTTCTTGTAAATGTCTGCTGTTTGAACTGTCTTTCTTACCGTCCTTGCTTTTCTCAATGTAAATTACCTATCAAGTTTTTAAGTTAAGCAAATCAACATTATATATCTTGTTCTCAGCTTGTGTTCCCTGACGGACGATTAAGCATCGACAACGAAACGGACGACGACGACGCCTCGCAACCGAGGTAGACTGGGCCAAGGGTCTCATTTTTGGCGGGAAAACGAAGTTTAAGTAGTGCAGCTTCTTAGACAGACGACGACTTCCTCTTTGCGAAGAACTTTGCCTCGTAACAGTCTTGTTATGGCTTTCAAAGAGCTCCGTAATTTGCATCTTATAAGCTATGACGATGGTTTAATCGACGATAGCGAATTTATCGTTCTTTACGACGGACCTGTATAGTTCGATTCTGGAGGCTTTCTGTTTGTCGCGCAGCTTTTGGTTTTGTTTTGAAGTTATAAGTGAATACAGATCTCGAACAGCTCTTGACTTGCAGTTACTCGGCTGCTGAAGAGAATTCAGTGCTGCATTGTTCTCCCTTATTTGTCCTCTCTCAGGGCTCCTCATAACCACATCATGTCCCGGAGTCTACTGGAAATAAGGGAGTTTAAGATACGGAGACTACGGACTACGAACTACGGTTGGACGAGCGTTGTCCTTTGTTCGTAGCACTGGGTTGAGTCGTGCAAATATAGAACGTTAAGATTGCACTACAGACAGTAGACTACGACAGAAGAGGCGGAGAGGGAAACAACACGCAAAGATTTTCTTGTTTCCATCACAGTTCACAAAAATGCAAGTCAGTTTTGCATGTGATCTTATCTTAAGAACAATGAACAAATTCTTCCATACTTGAAGGAAGCAATTACGTCGGGTGAAATTGTAAACAAAGTTTTGGTTACACAGGTTTTATTTTTTCGCCAATGAATCCTTATGTCAAATATTAAAGATATAGACAGAAATAGTAATAGCTCATTTATTAGATTTAGAAGATGGACTTGTCCGACTACTGATCTGATGTAGTTTGAAGTACTGAAATGCCGAGTTTCGATTGTCTCGAGCATGCATGTTTACATCATTTTCATTCAGCAAATGGCGCGTTACAAAAAATCGCATAAATAAAGGTTACACAAGTACAAAGACTCACTAATCAGTTCGAACAAACATTGAAACTTTTCAAGTGCGAAGAGAAAGTAAATTACCTGCATGATTTCTGTTCTCCTAGGCCGTCAATCTGAATTCTGCGTATAAACAGCTAAGCTTAAATGTAGTCACAACAGTGGATTAAAAGCGTAAATCTGAGCAGATATTAGACACAACTTACATACTTCGCTTCCCTTTCACTTAAAGCAGGTGAATTGAAAACTTTTTTAACGAAAAGACGAGATTCTTGAATTACCGAGACGGCAAAATACGAGCAAAATGTTCTCCGTAGTCCCGACTACGCGAAACAGCTCAACAACTCACCGTAGCCGCAGGACTACGCGGGAAAAATGAACAGTCACGTGGTTTTGATCATGCGCAGTAGCATATTTATCCGTAGCCGTAGTCCGTAGTCGCCGTATCTTAAACTCCCTATAGTTGCCTTTTACTTGCGGCTAATAGTAAAAACAACATACGAAATTAATCTTAGTACAAAAAAATGAACATTTATCCTATAGTACAACCTAAAATGCACGAGTAAACATAGACCATCAGGGAACGAACAGTTACTAATCTAACAGGTTCGGAAGATAGCAGAGGAAAGAGTACTTGTCTTTCCGACTGGTACAATTTCGCCATCACTCAGGTTTCAGACAAACCGATCCATATATTTCTACATGTACTCAATGACAAGGGGGAAGAAGAGTGGTTTAGACGCCAAAAGTATAATTTATATTTACGTTTTACGGAAAACGGGAAACCTTCCTGAATTTCGTCGTGGACGACGTTTTGACAACCTTACGCATACCCAGAAGGTTCGCGCGGGAAAATTTCACTTCCGGTCGGCGGCGTCGTCTCATTTCGTCGTCGATGCTTAAGGTCCCTATTGAAATCGTACAGGTGCTTACTGGCACTTGTTTCCCAGCCTTGCACTTGCAAGGAGGCATCGAAAAGTTAATTGTTGTTATCGTTTTTTATTGATCTCCTTATTTTAACAGCAAGGCACAGAAAAGTCCACTTGTTTTTGAAGACCCTGACATTCAAATTGTGGAAGCAGCCAAAAAAAAAGACAAAGGAGTTGCGGTTGGTTTTGTTGTGCTGTACACTGATGGCAAGAACACTACGGTGATGCCGAGAAGCTTCGTACATATGTTCATCACTTCTGAACTTTCTGAGAATGACAAGTTGGCAGGTTATCAAGTGATCATGGTTGATGGTAAAGGTACAAATGAAGGTAAACCAGGAGGGCAACACTCAAACAAGAACAAATCATCAAAGAAGACGTACATTTACATTATAGTGGGTGTGGTTTTCGGACTTATTTTCGTTCTGGCCTTGATCTTCGTGGTAAAAAGGTTAGTTTGCCATAAATAATGTTCACTTTAAACTGCAAGCAAGCACTCAAGTTACAAGGTGCTGATCCTTGATTGAGGAAGGAATAGGAGCTCCTTCACCTTGCTAATAAAATCAGTAATTGCTACTGTAATTAAAGAACGCAGTAGACACGTGCTTACGAGGTAGAGCATCTGTGGAATATTAAAGCAACGAAATTTAGGTTTGTCGCGCTTTGTGACTATCGCTGTACACCAGCCTTCTGCCAATTATTTTGTGATTTGCTTCTTTTGGTGTGAAGTCTTCGTCGCTATCAATGTTTTTCAGGTACGGCAAAAGACTGAAGGGGATTGGAGGAAGCACAATACCCAGCCGCCTAAGTGATCAGAGTTATCTCGCACTGCACGCTGAAGATTATGACGAGTCGATGGACGACACAGCCTTGCTGAGGCCGCCACAACAGCCTACTAGTGAAGGAGATCTTCTGTCTTAAGCGCCCGTCAGTTGAGCCGAATACTAGTTCTATTGCGGTGATGTTTAGTGCCTCCTAGCTAGAAATCATGATCCTTTATTCGGTGACTACTACCTGGCATCACGGCTTTAATAACACTCCATTCCCTTATTGTTTAGGTAAAAGATCTTGTAATTATGTCGTGCACCGACCTCGTAAATAACGAATTTTGGAGTAGATTTTGTCCTTACAGTTCGTTTGTCATGAAAGAGATGATATGATCTCTGTTAACCAAGTCCGTGGTAACAATCATGTTAGCAGTAAACCGTAAAACAAAGCCTTTCTTGGATATGTAGCAAAGTGGATCCACTTCGTAAATCCACTTTTGTTGTTTCCACGCGCTCACTGTATGTGTTCAGTATTTCATTTAAGAGATCATAACGTTCATTTCACTAAACTACTAACCTCGGTTATACCGGTGAGGCCAGCGTTTCACTTTGTAACCTAAAGAGCAAAAAATAGAATATTTCTCCTTTTTTACTCCCTGTAAACACGGATAGGAGGTAAACAAATATTTCTGCGTTGTTGACATTTGTTTACTGTAGGGTTGTTTTTGTTATAACTACACTGCTGCAAAAGGTAATTTACAGCAGTTACCAGAAACGCTTATAAATAACCACTCGTGTTAATGTAATCGTATTCATAAATATACGACGCTTAACATGCAGTAAATTAAATCACTGAGTCTAGTTTTGATTAGTTTTGAAAATGTTTGTGGGTATAATTAATCTCTGGTTAAATGTGTAGGGAATCTTTTTCCTCTGAGCCCCAGTTGTCAAAAGGTGGATAGCGCTATCTCCGGGATAAATTTCAATCCAGTGGATAACGAAGTTGGTTTCCCTTGTTTTTATTCACTGATGTGTAACAATCGGGGCCTGTTGGATCAACTTTGGAATTTTAGAAAGTGTGCAAGGCGATAATCAGCTACAACTTTTGCCTTATTTTGATACTAACACACTGCGTTTACTCTGTATGAAAATAGTCTTCATTGGATATTCTAAAATCGATGATAGGATTCGGCTGACTTAGATGGGTGTTCAGTGCAGTCCTGCAAAACCACAAGCAGTGTATTACACTCAAATTTGCACACTTTAATCTCGTTAACTTTTATTACAAGTTTGTTTAATGTGTTCGTTTAATATTACTGCTATTACATACTTAGAATTGAGTCGAGTAGTCAGCGCTGAGTAGCGTTTGTCTAAAAAAGTAGTATAAGCTATTCACTGAAAGTGGAAGAATTGCCGGCCACTGTCGGTAGATACAGTTTTCGATTTTAACTTTGAGGATTCCTCAATCAGCAATCAGGAGGCTCAAAAAATTGTACTCCACAGTTACAATTTGACAGTAGTCGTTGGTAATGTCTATTTGTAGAACAGAGAAGACTGTTAAAGTCAGTAAATTAGCAATTAATGAATTCGGCTTTCGTAGGATATGAAGAATGAGGCAGATCAAGTAGGGTGGGCCACGGTGGATAACACCCTCCGAGATCTTCCTAATTCTTCATATTCTACGAAAGCCGAATTCATTAGTTGGTTTATTATTCATTCAAAATAAATCCTAGTTTAAAAACAAGCTAAAACATGCTTACCTTCGTCGATATCAAGTTCACCTCGATAGTGGATGTTTAGAAGATAAAGGGCTGTTAAGGTCTGCCAATATATGCAGATGTTGTCGGTCGAGTTGTCTTCTAGCAATGTTTGTAGACAATAGTTCGTTGTGAAACGAGTACAACGTTCTGGTATTTTTGTTTTCACAACCAAAACAACTCAACCTCGTCCCCAGGTCATCTCGGTTAACGGTGCATTAACCTGTTACTGTGCTGCATTTTTGACGTCATCGGTTGATTAATCGCAAATTTCTTCCAAATTTGCTCAACAGTAGCTGGTTATGATAAATTATGCGTGTGCTTTTAGCCAATCAGAAATGGAGAAATATTTTGAATGAATAGTAATCAATGTTTACGTGTTCATTTATACATCTTATACAAGCCCTTTGTGTTTCCTGACTACTTGATGTATTCAACAGTTGGGTATAATGTTTGTTATACAGTAAGCTTTTTAAAAGCAATTACTTTTTAGTTTTGTAGTCGATTGACCATCTAATATTCTGGAATAGGAATACTCTCTGGATTTATCCCAGAATAGTCTTTGTCAATAAAACTAACTTTCTGCTTTCCAAGTAATGAACCGCTAGTTTGTTTTAATGAGTACAGCGATTTCTCAGGATTGTTGCTACAAATCGACAAGAAACAGACAATATTGCTCATATGTGAATATTAAATTTTTCTTTTAAAATAATTTCAACGAGAGGAAATTGTTGCTGCTGTGCGTTTTGGAGCGAACGCGGAGTTATAATGCGTCATGAAACCCATAGCGCATAACGTCATGATATCTTTTACTATCTTTAGCCGGTTCCGGACTCGCAGATAGTGGGGATGAAAGGCACGCGAAATCTCGGAACCTCCAACAGGCTAAACAATCTGAAGTACTTATGGAGCTTCTTTTCACCCCCCCCCCCCCCCGCCTTCCGGCCTGAGTTAGTGTCAGCATATGCTATACGCCTTCACTACAAAACGTACCCATGTGCCGTCGGGTATTAATAACAACCAAGACTTTTTTAATTTAACAGAAATGCAATAAACTATACAATAACAAGGCGAAAAAAAGGCAGAATAGTCAATTATAAAACGAAATACAAAAGTTCAACAGTTTTACGACACCAACTGGAAGAACAAATATAAAAATAATAATAGAGCGCGCGTTTGCTAAATTGCCGTAAATCAACACTAATCAGAAATGCACAGGGCGGTCCACTTATTTCTGTATTTGTTAAGATTTCCGTTTGTTATTGCAATTTCTCTTTCGCAATGGATTTTAATTTCCAGGAGAACAATGAAAACCTCCAGTTCTGGGGTCTCAAACTTGTTCCTAGCCAAGTAAACGTTATATCTAGCAATTAAGAGAGAATGGTTAGAATCGTGAAACAGATACTAACAAATAGTGCAAAGTAGCAAGAGGTATTAAAACAAAAGAAGACAATGGAATTATACTTTAGTGCGTAATAGTGCGTAGTATTCTACAACCTGTTTCACGGGTTAAGTAAAATCACTCTAAAAGTATGAAAGCTGTTAGATTCAGGATTGTATCCGTAGAGAATTTCAGTTGATTGGTGGATGCGTCAAAAGCCTTCAACTCACTGACTCGAGCCGCCGCCCTACATAACATCAGGGCTCTTTGCCCAGCGTTAGCTACATAGTTACAATCAATACCTACCGAGCCCCAACACGACTATTTGTAACGGTGGTAAAGAGCATATTTCTGCTGAGGGTACTACGTAAGACGATTCTTTGGCAATATGCATGTATGCCCTCAGTCTACTGCTGCTCATCTCTCGCTTACAAGCAGTGAGTCAAGTCAAACAATGCTGCTTTGCAGATGATGCGAGAGAGTGTGGATCGCTTCAGGAGATTAGGGTGTGGTTTGACGAGTTGATAGTGGCTGGACCGGACTAAGGATACTTTCCTAATGCTGGAAAATGTTGGCTTGTCATAGAGCCTAACAAGGAAAAGACCTCAAGGAGTATCTTTGAAGAAAAAGCAATCAACATCAAAACAGAAGGAAGGAAGCACCTGGGTGCGGTCGCTTAGAAAATCGGTCAGTATTTATTCTACGTCAACTGTAAAGGCAAGGAATGGATGGGGCAGGGGACAAAATTGGCAGAGTTTGCTCTTTCGCAGCCTCAGGCTTGTTACGCAGCGCTCACATTTAGATTAAAACAACGCTGGACATCGGCTATATTTTCTGAGAACTCTGTCTGATACAGAAGATCTACTTGCACCTCTTGAGCGCGCTATAGCTGATACTCTCATATTTTCCATTACAGGGCACAACTGTATGCAAGCAGAACGTGAGCTGCTGGCGTTGCCAGTGAGAATGAGAGGCATGGGATTAACAAATCCGAGTCAAGCAGCAGCCTTAGAGTATGTAGCATCAACTACTCTCTGGTCCGTTAGCTCAACAAATAGAATCGCAGATACATGAACCGCCGGATGACAATGTAAAACGCACTGTACAAAAAGACATGCGCCAAGTGAAGAATCAGTATCCGAAGGAAAAGCTTGATAAGGTGAGAAGCTCGATTTCTGCAAAAAATTCTAAGAGCTGTGACTCTTAATTGCCACTCAGAAGGGTGCGTTTAGTTGGCTTACCGTTTTTCCAATCACAGATAGGGACTTTGATTTAAAGGAAAGAGAGTTTCGAGATGCTGTGAAACTCAGGTACGACTGGGAAGTTCCTGATACACCCTCTGTTTGTCTTCGCGGAGACATTTTCCATGTAGATCACGCTATGATATACAAACGGGGCGGATTTGTCATCCAACGCCATAAAGAACTCAGAAATCTGGAGGCGGAACTGCTTGAAGTCGAACCAGTTTTGCAAGACATCACACGAGAAGAGTTGAATAGGAGAGCCAACACCGAAAAATCTGTCAAGCAAACTGATACATCAATAACATCTGAGCCTAGCATAACTTCGACTCGGGCTTTAATGTTTTTCTTTCTAAGACCATTCAAAAACGTATTATTTGCCCAGGGAATATATTACATCAGTCATGACTAAAGTGTTGGTTACCAATGGTGTTCGACCGCTAAGAATAGCAACGACCGTTTACGAAAGGGGAATAGGCTGCGACGCAACTTACTTTTCTACTAAGCCCTAGTCTCAGACAGGATGTTTTTCCACTGATAAATTTAAGTCTGTGACAAAAACCAAGGGTAAATTAATACTGGGCCACTTCAGTAATTTTGGAGGAAGTAACTGTATACCAACAAGCATGGCCGGGCAATAAAGCGATCTTTGTGAATAATATCTCCGCATAGGTAGAGGGCTGTTATGGATGAAAAAAGGATGAACGTAATGTTCTGGGGTAAGCTAGAAAAGCATTGCAGAGAAGCAAACGTTATTTACATTACCTAGCAGGGTTACCCAACGACTGTTTTCTCCCAAGTATCGGCTCGGAGAAGCAAATATTGCCTAGAATTTTCTATTACTTGAGGAGGGCTAAAAATTTCTGGATGACCGTTCCATTCACGTACAATTTTCGAAGCTTAGCTAATCTATTCCTACGACTTTCTGAAGTTTATTTTTTCACACTTCACCTCCAGGTTAGGCTTTTTTTTTCGTGAAAAAAGGAAATCTAAAATTTGCGGTTACAAAAATGTGATGGAGAGAGGAATAAGAAAAATTCTCACATTCGGTAAAATGTTAATTTACATCTAAAATTTTGGGGAACATAATACTGAAGCCCTTGTAATTTCGAGAAGACTCAAGTTCCCCTAGGATGACCGAACAGATACAAATTTTATGGCGCCGCTTAATATACATTTCCAGACTTCTAAAGTACTCTAGATAGCCTAAGAAGTAGTGTTTTCAAAGTATTTGGAGGAAACCATCGTTGGGTGCTCCTGATGTAGTAGCCTTTCCGTGAATTGTGTTGAGATATCATCGATTTCAAAATGATTTCTTTAAATTTCCTACTGTATCGATACTGTTACTCGAACGTCGATTTAGTCTACAAAATACCACACGTCTGTGTTAAACTGGGAACTGGGCTTGGTGATTGGCTCAAAATTGATAAACTTTCTGAAACTTTAGTCTTCCGGCCACTCAACAGAAACATAACAAGAGGTCTTCTATTTCTTCCGTCACTTCTTCCGCATGGGTGTTTGTCCAAGTTATATGAAATCAATTAAATCTGAACATCGACATGATTTTCTTTATTCATCTGCAATTAAAAATCAATAGTACAGTTTCACAGGACACAAAATCTAACGCTAATATACATCACAGCGAGGTAAGCATGTGTTTTATATGACAGTTGGAAATCTCTACTTCCAAAGTAAAAACAGAAATATTACAGCAATAATAAGGAAACGAAGTCGTGACGGCTTATGGATTGTAGTATCATTTCCAAACACATCCCCATAAGCCTTCTCCCATGATGGCGTTACACCTTCATTACAAAAATCCGTCTGGTCACAGCATTGCACCTCACACCACGAAGCGTTTAGCCCGTGTCGTCCAGTCTTCCTGCACTCTTCTGTTGCACACATTTCAGGGAAATAACAGGCTTTTATGAACCTTTGCAGCCGCCGACCGCTGTTCATTAGGAACATTTGATGTACCTTTATGCAAATCGTCCTGGCAGTATCGCACTCGTCATATGTGATCTGCTGGTTACAATCCTGCCATGAAACATCGGAGGAACACCTTTCACAACGAAGGCTGAACGCATAATCTAGAAAAGAAAAACAACGACACTTAGTCAGTTTAGTATTGTATAATATGATTATCCTTGTACTATCTTGACAGTGGTGAAACCCTTCATCGACCCTTCATGTTTCAGGGACACTAGCTTTCAAGACCAGGGCAAGAAATACTAACTGTATAACTGTATCTTTGCTTACTTAAACCAGCTATCCAATCAGCTTGTCTTTTTTAAGCAATCATTACAGAACAAAAAAACTCTTCTGTGAGTAAAACGTCGTTTTTAGCCTTTTTTCATATCGGAAGTCTTTTGCTGGTATTTTAACTTTACTAAAGATTTCTCAACACCGAAGTTCTTAACTTCTAGCTAAAACTTCTGAGTAGGGTTGCTCAAAATATGGTTAACTTTAACACAAACTAAAGAGAAATTTGAAACAGAATGTCTCCTTCCGCCTGGGAAAATTGATATAAGTGAACCTACTCAGCACAACTAAGCCAGTAACAGTTTAGAATTGTAGAAGAACAAATAAGAAATGAAGGAGAGACAAGAGGGGAAAGGGCGGTCAAATCAGAAAAGTTTGACACGGACTGCATTCAGTTGGGTACTTTTTCAACGTCATTTTGTCATGTGACTGGGATTTGTCAACAAATAACGCTTGCATTGTGGAGTACGTAGCAAATTTATCTAAAGTATACCTTTAAGTGGCCTTTTAATAGAGCACCTGTTATCACAAAGGTGCACGTGGCCTAGAACAAAATTATAGAACTGCAGACTCCAAAATAAGTGTTAATTTGTCGTATAACGCGCGTCTGCCGTAGGCTCTAATTAACGGTCGTTAGACTGGATTACGGAAAAGAGTTAGTTTGTTTTCAATCCAAGTTCCCGTGCCTTTTAGGATATATATGTATCTGAATCACTTATCACACCACTCTTACCCTTAGATGCGAGTTATGGAACGTAATGATAATCTCAAAGTCTTTCATGTATAAATTTTTTGGATAAAAATGAAAACGAATTATATCTATCGGTCATTTTAAGTAAAACTAGCATGTGTGGACCGACTTTTCTCACCTGCAGAAAAGCACATCAGTAGCGTCATAACATACATAATTGCACTAAGCATGTTAGTGACTGATTTCAGAACTCAGATTCATTCGAGGAGCTGTTAACGATTTCGATAACACCTTCAAAGTGAAGAATGTTTACAAGCGCAAGTCTTCTATTACTTAAACAATCTACATTAGCACGCCGACGCTCTATTATTCATAAAAAAGGTCGCTGACCAAGCGACGCGATTACTTTCAAAAACTACTTGCCTTTTATCATAAAATACAATCCTCGAGGCATTGTAAAGAGCTAAGCAATTGCAAACGTGTGCCAATTGACTGCATTGTCTCTAAAAATATAAAAAAAAGTGTTCAACATGATATCTTAGACGGGCTTACGCTTGCTTATAGCAAAGGGCAAAACAAACTTACATTTTCGTTTACAGCTGTTTCGGATAACACTCTACCTGCGATGTCAAAAACGTCTTTGATTTTGGGTTTTTCTGCGACGTCAATCAAGCTCTAAAGAGTCGGCTCTTCCTCGCCTTCACATCTTAATAGCAGACCTTTTAGGAAAAAAAAGGGCATGGTTCATGGTTTGTGATTGCTGGATTTCGATCCGTTTTGTGTGTTCCTTGTGAAATTCAGAGTTCGGTCGCGTGTTTTTGAAAAGCGGAGTAAGTTTTACCTTAGCTCTAAGTTCTTTTATCTACTTTGTACTGAAACATGGCTTGTTTGGATTGTTCCTATAGAGCTTCAAATCCGGAAGAAACACAGATATGGGAGGGTGAAAACGAATCGCTACGTTCCCGCCAACATTTGGTTTTGCAGCTTCTGCTCTTTATTGGCGCCTTTACTTTACAAACACAGTGGATGCTAAGGTAACGGTTTGATTGACGTCGCAGAAAAACCCAAAATCCTGAAACGCTTTTGACAACGCAGGTCGCGTGTTATCCGAAACAGCTGTAAACGTTTTTAATAATGAAATAGATCAGTGCAAAAATAAAATTTGAGAACCAAAAGATGGCTTCACCTCTCTGGTTTTTGTTCAGAGATCTGAGGTACGACAAATAAAGTTGCTTTGATTTAGTCTGATTTAAGTGAACACCGTTTTTCTTCATTATTTGGCGTTAAGTTAGCTAGTAGAAATTAACAGAACCATGTATCTTGGCACTGATTACCCTAAGAACATAGAAATTTGACATTCAATCCCTCCACTTTCATTGTGGCAACGTCTCAAAACTAGACATTTTTACCAAACAAACCTGAACTCGAGCCAAGTTTAAGGTTCCACAGGAAAAAAAAAATTGAAATTTAAAGTATTTGAAGCTTGTTACACCGTGCAGTTTTTATCTCGGTTACAATGAGTAAAACAGGGACACTAAGAACACTCATTAAGAGATCAATAAGGAGAGTCAACCACCTTTATAATAGCGTGATGACATTGTTCGTAAGAAGTGTGTTGACGCTTCCTTTTTACGAAAATAGGTTTTATTGTTGTCATATCATTTTTTATCATCTCGTGAATCAATCACGCTAAATATTTAAGTGACACAAAATGTTAAGCTGTTTAAGAAATCAAGGAGCCTTATTTAGTTCTTCCAGTGATTCTGACGCTACAGTGTGATCCAGAATGTTTTCCCTCCTAAGAGGGAAAAGGAATTGCTAGGTTCAAAAAAGTTGAGTGTTGTTGCGTTTTTGAGTGGGGAATAAAGAGGTGTTTCTTAGTTCAAATTGCTGCAAAAAATTACTTCTTCACCCAAACAAGACCGAAGTAGTCATGGCTGTAACCAAACTATCACCAGGTCTTGGTTAATTTTCCTGAGACTGTGGAAAGGAGCCATACCAAAATTGAGCCGCGAAGCTGGAGAAACCGACGACGCCACTTTGAATCGCGAGGAGAGCTATCATGAACTGCTTTTTTATTTGAAACACGTGGCTACCACAACGAGAAGTCAACAAAGAAACAAATCCAGGCCGACACTCTGACAAAAGTTACAAGGGGAACTAGCTCGTCGGACGTAAAGAGGAGTGGGATACCTTTGTTCCTTTATACGTGTCATGCGTTAAACAGCAGAATAAAACTATCGCGTTACGCTCAAGATCCTTTCAGGTAACCCAGTGACCAGACAGTTCGGTTTCCTCCCATAAAGCCATGGTTGCCAGCCCACCCGACAAGAATCGGTGAGACACCTTGTTTCGTTCGTCAGATCGACTATTTGTGCTACCTGCTATCATACTCCATCTGGATGTCGAACGTACCGGAAGTGACTGAATTGGCCTGTTCGGATGGCTAAAGAGTTCAATTGGAATCAGAAACTCTTTTACATTTTCAACGTCTGGTTGGTGTATTGCATCTCCTGCGGCTGCTACCCATCATTAAAATCGGCAAAACTCGGACTCACTAAGAAAAGAATGTTGTGGTGGACACCTTCAGCTACCTTCGAACTATTAAATTAAATGTTTTTAATTCGTTTTTTCCAGATATCGCTATCAAACATACTATAGAGTTAGATCCGCTCCCCTTAGATGACCTTAGAGAAACAGACGTTTGCTGCTAAAAAGTACGACAAACTTTTCAACTTTTCCTCGGAATGGGGGGGAATCTTACAACGGATTGTAGGTCGAGAACTGATTTCACCAAAAGAGTCCCAAAACACTGGCTTGGATTAGTTTGATGACTGCCACTATGTCTAAAACTGGCGAACATCACAAAGCCATCTTTTAAATGTAAATAATATATACCCTCATTATAGTAACTATGCAACTCGTATGATAATCACAATGTCTAAAAAATGGGCATGTTGCAAAATGATAATCTACATAGTACGTTCTTTTACATTATTTAAAACTTGGGGAAAAAGCAATAGCGGTTCTTTCATTAATCTTGATTGTGTGA